TCATATGAAAAGAAAACATAGTCTAATAATATGAAGAACAGGGAAATCTGTGATCAATCTCAACGGAGTTTTAACTGAAGACAAGAGGTGGGTTAAGAAGTTGTTCAAATTCCTTAAACAATATAAACTTCACAAACCCAAGTGTATTGATTTGATTCAACTATAAACTATTTGTCTGCAGTAAATAACTAGATTTCAAGACTTGAATTTGAGATTTCAAGGACATTCTCTCCAAATTTAGGGATTCATAATTGAATACTTGTGATTTACTTTTAGCCTGCTCTTCTCCATGTGTCCACCCAGTGTTTCCTCAGTAATGTCCAAGCCTGTCCACCAAACCCAAACTCAGAGCAGAGGGGAAGGCTTGGAACCAGATGAGCTTTAAGGTCCCTTCCAACCCAAACCACTGTGGGATTCCATGATATCTCCCAGGCAAATTCCACTTTCTGCTGACAATGACAGGTTAATTGGAATAAGAAATAGCTGCATTTTTCTGGCTGTTTCAAGGCCATCAGAATATCCGAGCTCCTGCAGCTCTGGGCTTCCCATCGTGCAGGATAGGCCAAGCTGATGTCAGTCACTTAAGGCTGCGGTGAGACAACCCACTGTTGATGTCACTGAATGTTCTTGGGTGCACCCCTGCTGCTGCTGGTACAGTACAGAGAGCTAAAACAAAGTCAAGAGGATCTTCTGGTGATAAGACTCAGACACAGCGGAGCAGCACAGACTCCTTGCCTGGTTTTAACACTTACAGAAATCCCCTGTTAAGTGAACTTCTGCAGCACGGTTCTGCTGATGTTGTGAGATAAGCCCTGAGTCCCATGAGCAGCCAGGCTCGATCTGGGCTTGGGAGATGTAATAGCTGATAAAAAACGGCACTTCCTTTTTGAGCAGATAAGTGAGTGTGTGTGAGCAGCACCACTGGAACCTCAGTGCATCGAGGCAAGGGCTTTTCATCCCCTCCTGGCTCCCTTCAGCCTTTACCCCCCCTTTCACACACCTAAATGCAGCAGCAGTCAGCATCCAGAAACCACGAATGTGACTTCTATTGCTTTTTAGTTCACAACCAGGAAAGCTCACTAACATTCAGAACACCCCCAAAATCAGCAGCCTCAACAGAGGAGGGAATTTAGACATAATTAAACTTGACTCTGACTCCCATAGGGAAGAATGTGGCCTTTTTCTTTCATTTTTAAACGAAAGATGCCTCATCTATGGCCTCCAAAGATAAGTGTTGGGGACACATAAAAAGACCAGAGAAATTCAGTGCTTCCTCCCCTCTCTGGCTCAGGGTTTGCCTCTTCTCAGCCCAGCCACAGGAAGCACCATGGGAACAGTGTATTTTTATGGTTGCAGGCAAGCGTGCACCATGTGCACCACAGCATGCAGCTTCATTCCCCTGAGGCAAAAAGAGGGGGGGGCTCTTTCTTTTTTTCCTCCTTGCTCTCCAGCAGGCTTTTAATTAACATATTACTCCAGCCTTCTGCCTAATTGTTTGCCCTGTACTTAGCACTCAGCATGGCTGAAGTCCTTTCAAAAGCAAGACAGGTTGAAGCCTCTACCATTACTGAGTGCCTTTATGAAATTTCTGTAGCCTTTTGAAAGGATCAGAGTACCACTTTCTGCAGCTTAGCATAAAACCCCACCAAACTAGAGTCAGGCGACATCTAGATATGACCAGGCTCCAACTTCTGCTTAAAGTCTCAGGGGTTGGAACTAGATGACCTTTAAGGTCCCTTCCAACCTAAACCATTCTATGGTTCTATAAAGCTCACAGTGTATTTAGAGCATCAGCCATTAATAATGGAAGCTTCACAAAAAGCGTATAGTCCAAGGAATGGAAGATCACTACTGAATGGCTGGCGAAACATGGAAAAAACACATCATTGTGCTGAAGAAACACACGTTACAGACATATTAAGGCAGTGGAAACCAGGTTATCAAATGCTTGATCTCTCTCTTAGTCAGTGGTCTCACCTTCAGCAGATGGAACAAACCCTGTGGGCACAGCTCATATGCAGGGATTTGGGATTAAAGAGTTTGCAGTGTTGCAGGCTGTCGTCTGCAACGAATTGCAAGGATGCTGAAGTGGAATTGCTTACCCACAAAAGGCATGGATCATGGATACCGGGATTAACATTTATGAGAACCACACCAACATCTTTGCAAGACTCCTCTATACATTTGACACGCAAGGAGGGTGTTAGTGATCACATCAAGAAAAGGGACAAGTAGCGCTTTTAGGTTTTTCAAGAGACAGACTTTTCAGGTGCACACAGGACATAATCCATTTCCCAAGAGCAATCACTCATCCTGAGATTTCTATCCTGTGATTCTGGAGAATACTCCATACTCATTTGTACCAGGGTTAGTGATCCTGAAAGATCACACTCCCACCCGGGCAGCACCACCAGAGCGTGGCTCCACTTACCCAGAAGCACAACAGATAGTTACTGAGCCACAAGCACTGCTCCTAGCGGAGCTGCTCCTGCTCTTGAGTAGGCATGACATGTCAACTAAGATTATTTGGGAATTCTAGCATCCTAGCTTTGTCAGGAATTTGGACACAGCTCCTGCTGCTCACACAGCCTCGAGGACTTCAGCACACGTAAAGACATCAGATTTATCGTGCTTCCGGTATCAGAATGACTGTGGAGAACTGTATGCGAAGCAATGGAGTAAGCACCACATGGATTTTAGTTTGTGCCATTTCACACTGAGATACTGCAGCTTTTCTGTGCATTTCTAACAGCTTTCTCCCAGCAGTTGTGTCTTTATTCCTACAGTGAGAATCAAAGAATTGAGCACCACGGTACTAGGTTCATACTCACTTTAAAATGAAGGAATGCTCTCATGGTAAGGGAGGCAATCAGAGGGAAATGAGGTTTTGTTGGTATTTACAATGTTATCTTTGAAATGTGAATTCTCCATATTTGCACTCCAGAAGAAGTTGGAAAGAGAGTGCAAGAGATCAGCAGTGATGTAGAACAACGAATGGTGCACAAGAGCAGTGTCAGCATCAACATTCTCTCACAAGTGTCAAAGTTGCACCTGATGTATGTGTGTGGAAAAGAGCCTGAGGAAAGGTGCTGAAGGTGACATAGGACAGTCAAGGAATGGAAAAAGAGACTTGATGCCATGATGCTGAGTGTGCAAGCAGTATAGACAGTGCTCCTGGAATGGGGAGGCGGGGAGAAGCTAAAGCAATTCCTCTTGGATGGTCAATATTCCCAGTTCCCCTTGGAGGAGGCTGTGAAAGAAACCCTTCCCTGGTTTCTTCCATGCAGAGTTTAGGGATGGAGGAAGGGGACAGGGAAGGGCAGGGACACTGGGGAAGCAGAGGTGGAAGTGAGTGAATATGAGTGGGATGGGCAAATAGCTGGAACATGGATGCAAAGATTTTATGCGCTGTGAGATCCAAAAGAGAGATCAGGCGCCTTGGATGAAGAAAAGGCTCAAACCCATCCACATTTTGTGGATAAAAACATTAAACTTCTCTTTTTGGGGTAAGCAGAGCAGAACTCACCTGCCCAAGCTACATCCCACATTGCAGACGTACACTAAGCTACTCTCCACTGACTATAAATGGAGTCCTGCCGAGAAGCAGCTGCTCTGGGGACAGGAGGCATTTCACCCTGTCACACAGCCAGATTTGGTGAGGAACCTGTGAGCTCTCACGGCAGCAACTGCCAAGCAAGGCCAGGCACTGGTGCAGTTCACCTAGACACCAAGGTCATAGATACCCAAGGGAGATAACTTCTCCCTCCTGATGGGCTCTTGCTAGTGCAGCACTTCCCTCGAGGGTTTCATGTTTTCTACTTTGTTAATAAATAGGAAAAGTTCCATCTTTAATAGAGCTTTAATAATGTTTAATCCTGAACATTTCATGTTAGTCTAAAATAATCTCATTTCCATTGCAGGCACAACCCAAAGCTACTTGGGCATCCAAGACAGAGACAATTCCTTAGTGATACATAAATGCTACCTCAGAACTGATCAAAGCCACAGCCCTCATTTGTCCTGACAGTGCCACAGTGCCATGGCCATGCAGCACTTGAAAGGCCACATGAACCTGCCTTTTCCCCAGGATATGGACACCACATCCTCCACCAGGCAGCATCTTTCACTGTTTGTGGTTGAGAACTGGCATAAATGAACACGCTCAGCTAACTGGCAGGAAGGTTTATTCATGCTGTGATTTCACTTTAGCAGCTTCTACCTTGAGGAAGGGATTGAAAGTCTCTTGCTCTACATCTGTCATCTGCACAGCTCCTGAACCCTGAGGGGCTGCAAGACTGCCATATCCAGGAGCTGCTTCTTTTACCTTTTAGCTATTAAATGAAGGTGGGCTACTAGTTTTTAAAGCTACACATAAATACACACTTAGGTAGGACCTCTTCAATGAGAAATAGTACCTATTGGTTTAACATTTTGTTCATACCTGTGTCTTCTTTCAGAGCTGTATAGGAAGGGTTTACTGCTCAAATTAAACACCATGGTAAACTGGCCAACCTTCTGTCCACCCACAGTTTAAAGCACAGGATTACTGCCACAGTTTGACATGTTAAAGAGCTGGGTTGTCCTAGGAGTTTGAGGTAATTTATCCTTTGTTTAAAACAAAAAGCATGTTATTTTTCAGATATCAGAGTGGCTCAGCAACATTAATAAAAAGTGCATTTGTCATATGCAAACTACTTTTAAGAACTTGTATGCTCCAACACATCTTGAAGAGCTCACCCTACGCACAGGGTTTTTATCTTGCTCCTGTAAAAGTGACCTTTAGGAAATGCACGTGAGGTTCCCTGGTGGGATACAGTTACTCCTCCTCCAGAGCATGTTGAAACTCTCTAAAGTAATTGCATTGTACATCCTTTTGCAGCCATACAGGAAAACCAGAGCCATGATCCAAAATAAACTTCCTAATCACTCTCACGGCATGCCCAGATAATTCAAAAGACAAAATATAACTGTTAGTTTTCAGAACTCAGTCTCCACTTTACCTTCTGCTTCTTCATTAGACTGACTGTGTTCCTTCATATCTGCTGCATTATCCATCCTTTCCATTTCCTGGGATTTGTTCAGATTACAGTCTGTCAAAACCTCCTGTCCTTCTGAAAAACACCCCAACACAACAATTCGTTATTTATGCTCCAAGAGCATTTCCAAGTGATTCCCTCAAAGCATCTGCAAATTCCTGGTGCTGCTCATCATGGCCACAGTGTTCTGCTTGCAGAGGCATTAGGATGGATTTGCTTCTCAAAGTCATGGACAAACTCTCACATAGGATCACATTATTCTTGCTTCCCTAATCCAAACTTCCAGGTGTCTCCCGAAACATTTCCTTCCCTACTCTACAGTCTTCCCCCCACCCTGGCTTTTAGTATAATTTTCCAATATTATATTGAATATCCACAGTTTTATTTCAGTTCTGCAATTTCCCTTTTGCCTTCAGCACCCATCTTTGTCCTGGTGCTATTCAGTGTCCTGGGAATTGAAATAAGCTGCAATGCAGACATTTTCCTCCATATAAGAGGGTGAAAGAACATAACATGAAGCACTGTACCTGCAGCCAGTGGCTGTTCCTGAGGATTACTTAGGTCCATACCTGCCTCTGAACCTGCAAAAGGACAGAAAAGCCACCGGATTTGTTTAATATTCAGAACCATTTGTGACACAGTTGCTCTAAGCCCATAAATTCCCATTTTCTTGCTTGAAAGCAAAAGTGAAAAAGCAAAACTTCCCCAGAAATAAATACCAACTCATTGTTCTGTTTCATTGGACAACCTTGAGCAGTGGCATGTGCCCAGAAAAGGGATTAAATGTTATTTTCTGACTTTGAACTACTGCAGAACAGAGTAACTTACACTTGCAATGTACCGTCCTGCAAGTACAGTGGAGGGGTAGTAACTCTGTAGGAAGTGAATTTCTATAAAGCACAAAGGTGTTTTACATTCCTTTTCCAACACAAAGGGAAAACCTATCTTCATGACACCTTCCCATGATATCTAATTCCCATTTAGAGATTCTGATAGGGATTTTTGAAGGAATTTAGAGGGCTGCATGTGTGGTTTCCAAAAGCTCTGAGCACTCAAAAGAACGCCTGAAGACAAGCTGCAGGTTTTTCCATCTCCCACTGCAGTGCCTGAATTCAGGGTGGTGAGGTGAACTGGAGACAGCTCTGACCTGTCCAGTGAAGGCTTTACTCAGCACCTTGATGTCTTGAGATGTCATCGATGTAAGGGTTGGTTTTCTTCACAGTGTCACAGCTACCTGCCTCCTTCCTCCCTTCTCTCCTCTATTTTTTACACGCCATAAAATCTTTTCTCATCTTTGACCGTATCAAATAGCAGCTCCCAGCCTGGCAGAATTCCTTCCTGATAGTTACATAACTGCAGTGCACTTACAGTGGCTGCGAGGTGTTAACCACCACTGACATTTACCCAGAGCTCTCTCTCTGCCTATGGAACATTTCTGTGGTCTCTGCAACGTCAAAATACACAGCTCTGTTAACTACAGCAAAGCAGCCTGGTAGCAGAGGAGGCTTTCCAAAAACCTGCAGCAGCAGAGGAGGGGCTGATGCCTCCAACAGAATAAAGGCAAACGCCAAGACAACAGAACTCTCCAAAGGGAGCTTTTCCTTCTTTGGTTCATTGTTTCCTAACTGAAAGCACTCGGCTCCCATCTCTCAGTAGTGGGCCTCAGGGTCACATTATGCAGTAGCTCCCATTGCTCTTAACTGGCTGTTACCAAAGAAGGGCAAGGAAAACCAAACACTGTTAATGACTAGAGCTGGCCTGAGCTCTTCAGGGTGGAACTCCTGACTGGAGACAAGTGGTTTAAGCCATTAGCACTTATGAAACGTATCCTAAAATGAAACCAGAGCTCCTCTCCTTACACTAAATACAGCATGAGTGGGAGCTTTTCATCAAGTGGCTTTTATTAGAGCTAAGAACATTGCTTTGGGGCCTAAAGATAGGATTGAAATTTACTGACAAAAAGCTCAAATATTTACTAAATTTGTATTTTTAAAATCAACACATTAGAAGAAGGAAGTCCATGGTTAGAGCTCTTAGTTTGTCCTTGTTTCATCTATCATCACACCAGTAGAAGTGAGATCCAAAGCAGCAAACAGACCAATACTGATGGGGAAACACCAGTAAATACACAACCAAAATTCTCTCTAGCATCAATTTTAACTTTACATTGCAAGAATATAGACATTTCAATCACACAAACCCTTGGAACTGTGCAAACAATTAGGCTTTGGGCAAGACAATTCCCCATCTCTCTGGAATACTTGAGTTGGGGTTTAGTTGCATTCTGAAATCCTGGGCTGAGAAAATCCTGAACCGACCAAAGCCAAAATTAAGCCCAAAAGGTGCCAGCCAGGGCAGGGGGAGGTGTGGGTGGGAACACACAGCAATTCTGCCTTGCCCTGGGCTGCAGGAGGTCCTGAAAGGCAGAGTGAGAGCCCCTAAATGATGATTCAAAGTCCATAGTTCTGCACATGTTCCTGTGTAGCTCTATTGGTTTAGAAACCATGGGATTCCCCAGGACATCGCAGGCATTCCACCAGGGAGGCTGCATTGCTAAATCACATCACACAAGATTCTGTGTGCCCTGAACAGTCCAAGCACCATCCTGCTCTGAGCAACTCTGACCTGCAGCTGCAGGACAACCTGCTAGAGATCAGCACTGCCTGACCCACGCGACTGCAGAGCTGGATCTGCTCAGCCCTCAGCTTCCCATCTGCTTCCTAGTGGGATGGCCTCTGGGTTTATTATTGAGTGTAACAGGCTCCTGGCCATGATGGGCTGTTGGGCAGCACAGTCACACAATCGTTTAGGTTGGAAAAGACCTTTAAGTGCATCTGAGTCCAACCGTTAACTCAGCACTGCCCAGTCCACCACTAAACCATGTCCCCACGTGCCACATCTACACACCTTTCAAATCCCTTTAGGGATGGTGGCTCTACCACTGCCCTGGTCAGCCTGTTCCAACACTTAACAACTCTTTCAGGGAATAATTTCTTCCCAATATCCAATCTAAACCTCCTTTTGATGAGATAAGAACAACCGTATGATATCTTTTCTGTTGAGAAATAAACCAGACTTCCCATCACTTTCAAGCCTCCAACATCCACCCATCAGAGTCTGGTTTCTTTATATTAGTCCCAAGCAGCTTCTTAAAGCCCTAGTGGTCTTTTACTATTCAGGCTCAGGTCTCTTTCCTGAATAAAGTATTTTAAGCCGGATCCTTCACTATGTCACATAAGCATGCTGGAAGGAGGTCTAGGAAGCTTCCAGCCCTGATGATGTACAAATAAGACCATGTTCCTACCCAGCATTCAGAGGACAACATCACAGGAGGTCACTTACAGAACACATTAAGTCTTCTTGAGCTTCAAAGGGATGCACTGACCCGGGTGCACGGGAAGGAGACGCTTGCCTGTGTGTGCTGCAACGGGTGCTTGATGTGCATTTGCAAAGCAGAAGTAAAGTCCGTGTGCTTTTGAGAGCAATCCTCAGGCATCCTGTGTCCCCTCAACAGCCAAAGTGAGCACAGATATTCAAATCGCTCGCTAAGAAAGCACTGGGGCATTATAACATGGAACTGGACTCACGCTTTATCCTAGTATTTGACCAGTTAATAGAAGCAACAAAACCGACCCGTATTTTAAACACCCCCAAACTGGATGTTTTTCAAACAAAGGATAACACTGATACCCCTCCATCACCAGTGCAGACATCAAAACGTGAGGGATGCCTTGAATTATTCTAACCTTACCTGTTTGCCTCCAAAGCGAAACCCAGAACGTTGTCTTTTTACTGCCAGCTGCAGGTTTCAACCCAATAGCATCACGAAGGGGACTTCTTTTCAAATCCTGTGTGCTGTCAGTTCTAGCACAGCACGTGGAACAAGCACAGCTCATTTCCTTGTTCGTGCCATCTTCAGAGGCACAAGCAAGGCAAAATAAAACACACACCAAACCCTGGCCTCTGCCCTACAGGTAGACCCCCTCCAGCCTTACCCCTAAATGCTCACAGCAGAGCCAGCACCTTTGTGATGTGCAGCACTCAACTGCTCTCTCCCAATGTGGTTTTCGCTTTCAGGCCGAACAGAGGGAAAAGCAAATTTCCCCACTGAATGGCCTTCTCCAGCACTTCCACTCTCAATGGCTTTCTGAAGAAGGCACCAAAGAAACTCTTTACATGGTCTCTTACACTTTCCTGTTCTTAAGCACCATGTGATGCTCGAAGTGACAAGGGCATTTTAAGCCATTTGGGGAAGAAATCCTGACCAGCAGTAAGTAAAGATAATGTTGTTTTTTTTTTCACATTGTAGCATGCAACCTTCTAAACCCAGCAGAATAACTCTGACATCCAGATCAACACGTCCATCCCAGTGCAGCAAATCCCCCAACACGACCAAGCTGATCACAGGTTTTGGCTTCCTGGCCCCAGGTCTCAAATAGCTTCTCCTGCTGGTGCCTGTGTCCTGGGCAGTGATCATACGGGGCCTCCTCACACTGACAATCCAGGACAAAAGTGGTGTCCTTTTTTCCTCAACAGAAAATCCCCCTTCCTCCAGTAGAATTCAGGGTTCCCCAAGACCCATGGAAACAGAGACACTGCTCAGTTACTGTAGCCTGAGATACACAGAACAGCACTTTCACCTTCTGGATGAAGTTAATGTAACAAGCTCAGGCACATTACCTGATCCTCTGATACTCTTAATCCCCATGGACAGAACCAAAACCCAAAGGGTTATTTGCATGTTAACTTTAAGCATATAAGAAACAGGAACACAGAAAAGAGACTTCAATAACCTCAGTTGGAATGCCAAAAACATGCTCCCGTTCTAACCAGACTCCACTGACACACCTAAAGAGGTTCCTCCTCCCATAGACACACAGTGGACCCAGGGGGACCAAGAAAATGAAGCTGCCCAGCTGGCACCAGACCCAGTCTGTCTCAACATCAGTTATGTCTCTCGATTCAGTCAGATTCTAGGAGAAGAATTCTTTAAATACAAACATTTTTAAAGCTTTTAGCAAAGGAGAATACACTTTTTAAAGAGGCAGCTGCATCTAACTGACAATAACCAAAGACCTCAGGGCACTGAAACGGAAAAGAACCTAAACTCAAGTCCTTCAAATGATGAGTTGAAATAAAACCGTTCAACTCTGACACAACAAACCAAGTGATGCGTTGCCAGGCTTGTTACAAACTCTGCTAATGCTCCTTTTCTCCCAAATCAAATTACACTGCAGCCCAAGATTAACATACAGCTTGGGGTTTGCTGGCTCTGAAAGTTACCTGCACGTTTTCCAAGCAAAAAGAAACCAACACCCCCTTTAATTCGTTAAAACCTACAATATGAACAGCGGATACAGTAGGCTCTAAAGCCCGACTTTATCCTACACGTTGTGACGGTGCTGAAATTAAACAGAGAGGGGGCAAAGAGCCCCGTTCGTTTCCTGTTTAATTGCACCACGCGATGAGGTTTCTCCTCACGGCTGCAGAAGGAGACTCCGCGAGCACCGGGAGGTGGAGCCCGGGGCGAGCCCCCGAGCGGCGGCGCTTCCCCGGCCTCGGGCCCGCGGAACGAGCGGGATCGTTTCTCACCTTCCATGCTCCGGCCGCGGTCCCGGCTCCACCTGCCCGCCCGGGCTCGGGGCTGTCAGAGCGCAGCGGCCTCGCCTCCCGCGGGTACCGCGACATCCGGCCCGGCGGAGGCGCTGGGCGGGCGGAGAGCGGCGCCGGGCGGCGGCCGGAGGAGGCGACCTGGCCCCGGGGGCTTTGCCCTCCCTTGGGAGGCCGCTGCTGGTGCTTCGGCGATGACACAGGCAGAAGTAGGCCCCTCGGGAACGGGGGGAGAAAAGAGGTACAGGGGCTGAGGGATGCATCTCCGAAACGGGAGGCCAGCAGCAGCGCAAAGCGCCGGGGTCTCTGCAGCAGCATCACTCGGCCATCCCCCAGAGGCTGGGAGATGGGATGGGCAGAGGGTGAATCCCACACAAAAGGGGCCAAAAGAAAACCCTGGAAGCCCTGTGCTTTAGAGGAAACCTCCCTCAGCATCACTGGAGATAAGTTCTGTCCCCACCATGAGACGTGGCTCCATCAGTGAGAAAGCCATGGCCAGTCCCTGGGCAGGGATACAGGCAGGAACGGGATTGAGGGGAGCAGTTCCAGGGAATGTAAACCAACAAGACAGGAGTAACCTCACCCTGAGGGCTTACACATGCTCCTATGACATCCAGGGTCTCCTTCAACCCACAGTTCCCCTCGGAAGTGGATCTGACAAGAAGCTGATCTGTTTCCTGCAGTGCTCCCAGGTTGTGTGCACAGATCCACAGCCCATCATGGGCAGCTAACCCAGAATACTTATTTTAGGGAGCCTTTGATCTGTAAAGCCTGCAGCAAGCGCCTATACCCCAAAATAGCACTGGAAATCTTGCGATGGCTTGGGTTAGGTCACTCAAGGGACACCAGCTATTCATATGGAGAGCGTAGCAGGGTGACATGGAGCTATTTTGCGTTGGCAGAGCCCTGACTCATTTCATTTCACACTGCAGAGCCAAGCAGGCTCAGCTCGGATTAGAACTGGTGCAGCGATTGTGCACTGCAGTGCCCACGCACGTGAAAGAGTAACTTCTGTTCGACAAACTCCATTTTCCTTTGTGCTCAGTCTGTCCTGGCTCCGTCTACACATCCCATAAACATGGCAAGGCAGCCTTAGCTGTTCAACAAGTGCTGCTTTCATGGCATTACTCGTTCAGGGATCACGCTCCTCGGATTGTACATGAAATGACTGAGATAAGCAAAACAAAACTTGAGTTAGCTGCTTTTCTTAGCAAAGTTGCATTGCTATTTAGAAGAAAATCAAGTTACAAAGTCATTTACTAAGTTAAAACAAATTAAAGCCAGGCCAACACAGTCTTGACTTCATGTGCAAGCTGAGCCCTTGTCATCATGGCATTTTGCTTCAGCCAACACCCAGAGCTACTCACCAAGGAAAGGCCTGAAAAGGTAAGAGCTGGCTCTGATCTCAGATCAGCCCTGAACTCAGCTGTGCTTTAACACTGAGAAATCAATGTTTGATAAGAGGGTGGATGGAGCCTTAATGCATTTTTTTTGTTCTTTTACTGGTAACACTCCCACAACCTGATCGTCTAGAAGTTAACAAAGTGGCAAATGAAACTGTGATCTGACCTGATCGCTTGGATGCAAACCCAAAGGCAGTGAGTGCGAACGGCCATAGCTCAGGTGTGTGAGAACACGACATGGAGCCAGGATTCTCCTCCTTTCCGTGGAATGTCAATGACTGCTTCTTCAATCGGGACTTTTCCATCACGTGGAAAACAATTCTGGAAATACAGTGTTTAAAAAACAAAGATACCTGGGAGAATCAAGCCCAATTCTCTGCTATTCCAGACAATCTCTGTATTCCCCTTCCCCAACCATTTAGTAATTTGAAAGGTTTCTTGCTCCTATGAACTTCAGGGAAGCCCTGGAAACTACTATGTGATGATCAGAAAGCCCAGGATTATTCAGGGCCATTTTCTCCTACTCCCAGGTTTGTTCTCCAATTTAAACCTTTACATCCCCTCATATTTACCATCAGAAAACCAATAATGTCTTCTTTCTGTTTTTATTTCAAGGGCAGAAACCAAAAGAGCCTGGGTTTGCCAGCCTGTAAAAACCTCTGCAGTGGTCATCAGGGCTTTCCTTCTCTTTAGGTCACCCACCTTAAAGATCAGAGACAAAACTTGTGCTCTGCATCCCAGGTAACATCTCTCCAGAGCCTTGCACAGGTCGTTCACGTGCCCCTGTGCTCCTGGAACTCTCTCCATGTATTTCCTAGGATAAAATATATTTGCCTTTTTAATATCTACTCACACCATGATCAAGTCCACAGTATGTATTTTTAACTCTTCTATTACTTCCTACTTCGGCTTCTAGCCTGCTAGCAGAAATAGCTAGTAATGTAATTCAGAATGACATGACTTCACATCTTGCCCTGTTAAATCCTCCCCCCCACCACCATTACCATGTGCTTAAAGAAAACCAGTTTTTCCCCTCCCCTGAGCTCACAAATCTGCAATGACAACTTATCAGTTCGAAATCTTGGAGACTAGAAAAGGAAGGAGTCATTTGACTAAACACACAGACCAGCAGCCGAAGTTACAGGCTTAAGATTCGGAACTGCAGGCAAAGCTTCATAGCAAAGATCCCATTTTATAACCACCAGCAAGCTGGGCTGTGCAGGGCCGTTACATCCTTAGGACCAGGGGATGGTCAGCCTGACCCGTGACTCGTCTGTGGCAGACAGTTTACCAAGTGACCCAAGTGGAGTGTGACCTTTGAGTAAACCTGAAAACATTCACTGCATGGGAACGCTGGATCTTTTGGGGTGGACCTCATTCTGAGCTGTTGGGCAGCTCAAGGCCATTAAAAATGAGAACCCTGACAGAGCTCTTCTACCTTAACCGACCACTTGAGAGCAAGTATCTTGGGTGAAGGGAGAAGAAAGTTGTAGCCGCAAAGAGAGAAGTGAAATAAAGAGGCAGCACACACATTTAGCAGGACAAGGAGTTTCACAAGGCATTAAATGAGAGGGACGCTACTTTACAATACCACCAGGCTTGAGTAAAAGTCTTTTCTGTCAGCAATGTGATACCTTCTTTTCACGCTTGTTTTTGCATACTTTATTAAACAGAACTCGTAACTTAAGTGCTTTTTTTGCGTGGAAGCATTGAACTAAAACGTTGACAGCTGTCTACAGAAATAACCCTCATTCCCGTGCTGCCTGGTTCCATATTTGTTATGCAAATACTATTACATCATTTCTGGACACTGTCCTGGGCTGGGGCCGCCCAGTAAAATACGATTTAGGGAATTACCAGGGGCCAGGGCTCCTGAGCTCGAGCCTAAGGATGCGCAGCGTGGTCAAACCCAAGTCCCCTCCTTTCCCCGCTCTGCTGTTTCCCGAGTGGTTTTAGAGCACTTGCTCTAGAAACAGAATATTTCTACTTTACAGAGTTTCCAAGCCATGAGCAAGTCTTCCAAAGCACGTAACTGACTGAGAAACCAGAGTGCTTCAAATGACAACCCCAGCCTGGGTTGGGTTGAAGGGACCTTAAAGCTCCTCCAGCTCCAACCCCTGCCACGGGCAGGGACCCCTTCCACTGGAGCAGCTTGCTCCAAGCCCCTGTGTCCAACCTGGCCTTGAACACTGCCAGGGATGGGGCAGCCACAGCTTCTCTGGGCACCCTGTGCCAGCGCCTCAGCACCCTCACAGGGAAGAGCTTCTGCCTAAGAGCTCATCTCAGTCTCCCTTCTGGCAGGTTAAAGCCATTCCCCTTGGCCTGTCCCTACATCCCTTGTCCCAAGCCCCTCTCCAGGTTTCCTGCAGCCCCTTCAGGCACTGGAGCTGCTCTCAGGTCTCCCCTTCAGGAGCCTTCTCTTCTCCAGGCTGCCCCAGCCCAGCTCTCTCAGCCTGGCTCCAGAGCAGAGCTGCTCCAGCACTCGCAGCATCCCCATGGCCTCCTCTGCCCTCATCCATCCCCTCCACATCCCTCTGGTGCTGTTCCCCAGAGCCGGGTCAGGCCCGCAGGGGTTTCTCCCTGCAGAACCCACCCCTCACACACAGATGCATTCTCCAGCCCTCAGGACACGCTCAGCCCTCATTCCGATCCCTGTCACAGCCAGCGGCAGCAATGGGGTTCACTTCATCCCTTTCAAGCCCAAAGAACGCGTGTCCGCGTCGCTGAACAACGGAGGTGCCTCACAACCGGCGCGCGGAGCCGCCCTTCCCCCGCGGGGCAGAAAACGACCAAAAAAAGGGTTTTTTTTAAAGTAAAAAGTGAATGCGAAGAGGAAAAAGCGAAGCGGCCCGGACCCCCCCCCCCCCCCGGGGCTGTTCCCGCCCTCGCTGAGGGGAGGAGGAGCAGGGCGGGAAGCGGCGGGGCCGTTCCTCCTCAGGGCGGGCGGTTGGGGCCGTTGAGCCCCGCTATGGCCGCGGGCGGCGGGGGCCGTGGGTCCGCCCCGGGCCGGCTCCTGCGCTTCGTGGTGGTGGTGATGGCGGTGACGGCGCTGGGGTCCCTGCATGGAGGTACCGGGGCCGGCATCAAACCAACACCCCCCCCCCCCCCTTCCCTTCCCTCATGAGCCGCGGCGGGGCTCGGGGTGGTGGAGGGAGAGCGCAGAGGAGCTGTGGCTGCCGCATCCCTTGCCTTTATATATATATATATATATAAATTGGGTTATATATATATTAATATATATGTGTGTGTTATTGGACTTTTAAAAGGGAGTTTGAAGTACAATGAGCAGTATGTAGGCGCAGCTACACAGAGAAGTGACGCTAGGCTCAAGGCCAGGTTGGACGCAGCAAGCTGCTCCAGTGGAAGGTGTCCCTGACTGTTGGAGCTTTGAGGTGCCTTCAACCCAAACTGGCCTGGGGTTACTGTTCCGTGATGCCAGCAGCATCCTTCGTGTCCTGGGCCTGAGTTCGAGCTGTCTTCATCTACCACGGCCTGCAAAAACCCCACACATTTGTAATGCTTGTCACATCTCCTGAGGGGTTTCATCACAGAAACCCTCAAACCAGGGCTGTGCCCCGAGGGGCAAAGGCTCACAGATGCTTGCGGACCCCCACAGCCCCCATGTGCTGGTTCTCCCCACACTGCCTTCCCGGTTCGGTTTATGACCGTTGCCTTGGCTTTATGTAAGGAGAAAGGGTTGGAACCTGGTAACATCCAGGTAGATTTGCACCCTGGGCACTAAAGCGATGAAAACCGACAAGCGGGAGCCCCTGTTTTTGAGGAAAGGGAGGAGGAAAAAGGCAATAAACCCCCTAGGACAAAATAAATGCTCAACTGGCACACATTCAGGTTTCTGGCTTAACATTTGAAGTCCTTTTGCCTACAGGGAGAGCAGAGGAAGAGCAGCGTTCCGTTGATTTAGTGGAAAAGAATTGTGTTTATGGCAACCCCAAACATGAAGGTAAACTTGCCTTTTATATATATATATATATATATACATAAATTTGGGTTATATATCTATAAATATATATACATAGGTCTTATTGGACTTTTAACAATGGAGTTTGAAGTACAATGAGCAGTATGTAGGTGCAGCTACACAGAGAAGTGACACTAAACGCAACGCTGGAGACTCCAGAGCACAATACATGGGTTTAGGAACAAGTTTGTCCTACAAGCTTGTTTATATAAGCTGGAAGTTTGTCCTATAAGCTCTTATGAAAATCCAGTGTCTCAATGAGGGTCTCACTCAGCAACAGGCTCAACATCGCAGGCCTTTTTTGCCACACCAATATGCTTTGGGTGGGATTCGAGTGTCTCCTGCGTGCAGTCAGCACCAACCACACAATGGACAGTTCCATAATGAGAGTGAATGGAGATGAAAGGTTAACCTGGCGCTTTCCTAGCCCAAACCTGACACTTTCCAAGCCCAAACCGGAAAAATAAACCTTGCATTACATTAAATGTGTATTTGAAATGAGTATTTTGGGGGTTTCATCCAACAGAAGCATTTCACATCCTTTACCTTCCTCTTGTATTGCAGTTAGCGTCTATGTTAAGGTGTTTACCAACAGCCCATTTCTTCTGTGTATGGATTTGGCTCGTGCTCGAGAAGAACTAATAGATCCCAACTATTTGTGGATTGGTCCAGATGGAAGAAGTCTGGAAGGTCAGCCACCTTGTTCAGACTACAAAGGGTTTCCCCTCAGCCTGCCTTGGCCACTTCCCCCCCACTCACTAATAAAATGAGCCTTTTACAGAAACTTCACAAATGTAGAGACTGCCTTGGGGGGTGGGAAGACAATCAGGAGATAGAGAAATAGTTCCTGGTTTCTCTTTACCAGGGAAAAGTCAGCCACAAGTGGCTAAGGAGATTACTGTGCATGAAATCTCCCATTTTCCTTGTTTCAACCATCCAGCAGCAGGATGTTGGATCCAAAGAGTCACTTGGTCTTTTGTCAATGTTTTCCATCAGCTCTGAAGTTAGATTGTGTTTCTTTTCTCCCTCTAAAATGCCCAAATGCTTGAGACAGAAGCAAACTTGCAATAAGTCCCAAAGGTCATCAATTTTAGACTGCTTCAGACTAACATGAATCAGTGTCACTGTGTACAAAAGCAAGGTTTCATCTTCAAATGTCCTAAATGAGCAGAGCATCAGAGACCAAACATTTCCAGTAACCAAGTGTTTCCTGTTTCTATTCTAGGGCAATTGCATGTGAATCTGACAGAAACAGGAAAGCTGATGTTGCTGGGGTTTAAGGAGTACATGTCTGGAGCCTACACTTGCACTCTTTCTCACAAAATCTTAGAAACTACGACACAGGAAGAAAGAGAAATGTTTGAGACGTACAAATTCATGGTGTATGGTAAGCTGGCTAGCTCCTTAGCCAACCAACGCACGTGGCCTTTGTGGTTTGGTGGGTTTGTGAAGTGCATGTTTATGGCAAGGCTTGATATAACAAAATAATGAGCTGGTATTTTATCTCAGAGTAGAAAATCTCTATTTTTTTATATTTATACACACACAGCCCTTCTCCCACCTTTGGGAAATGTTTTCAATAACTGCTACCAAGCATAAAACAATCTCTACCCTTGTTAGGAACCAAGTGAACTACAGCAGCTCCAGCCAGATCCAAGCTCTGAAAAGGAAGCTCATGTCCAAGTGCAGTCTCCCACATTAGAGACTGCCAAACCAAGCAGAGGCCACTCCCCCATTGTAACCCCTGTTCACAATATCACCTCCCCACCACAAAATAACATCCAAAACTGTTTGAGAAACACTTCTAAAATCATTTTACGAACCCTTCCCTCCTCCAGCAGAGCTGCAGAGGGTGCTCGTGCACAATCCCAACCCATTGCAGCTCTACAACTTTGCAGACACACTCGGTCTGTGCTCTTTCACTATTTGCCCACTTTCTTGTTTTAGTATTTGAGAGCAGAGCCCCGTAAGCACAGAAATTCCTGTACATTTCAAACTAAGATGTCTCTCACTCCCAAGTCAGCTCTGGCAAGGCCAAATTTGTTGTGTTGTGGTTAATGAGTGAGTTTTATATATTCATTTGCTCTTGAATAAGAGCCCATGTTTCAAAGTACACTGCTAGAGACGTTAAGGTTCTATTGAAGCCTCAGTCTGTGATCACACACAAACACTCTGCTTACAGCATACAGGGAAGCTGACCACGCATATCAGATCTTCGTTCGCTTTACTACCAGGCAGTGTGAGCTACAAGCCAACAGCCAGTTCTTTGAGGAGCTCTTGAAAATCTTAACTAGCATCATCTCGGATCTGACGTGTCACATCACCGAGTCCTCCTACAAGTGCCACTCTGTCAGGGTACCCAGCCGAGGCCTCCTGCACGAACTGTTTGTTAGTTTTCAAGGTAACAGATTCCCGTGTTTGTTTAGGAGGGATCATTTGTATTTATAAAGCCGAGAGTGCAATAAACAACACCTGAAATACATGAAAATCAGGCAAGCCTTTGAGAGCTGTTTCCCTGTTCGCTTTCAGAGTCCCTGTATTTTTTCTTACTAGCCCACAGATGGAGCTAAAATGCAGTTTATACATTGAATTTGCAGCACCATCCTTCTTACAACCTAAACAAGAAATGCTCTTTTCAAGGTGTGCACTTGGAAAGGCTTCTTGAAAGGAGATAGCTGATAAAATGCCACGATTTTTCCCTTGTAAAAGGAAAATGGTCATGAACCTAAAGATACTTGAGTTCCTTGCAATGCATTCTTCAACACATTTAACTGTGTCTTTTTCCCCCCACCCATAGTCAATCCTTTTGCACAAGGATGGGAGGAAGTTTGCAAACAGGTTCCTTATGACTGCGAAGGTGTGACAAACATGAGAGTTGAAGAGGTTTGTGTCAACCACACTTGTGTCTTCTCTGCGTGTTTAACTGATTCCACTGGTGGTTATCCAGCTTCACCCGCATTTTACGGGATTAATAGCATTGCAAATGACAATTCACAGAGTTCAGATCATTCATTTCAGGATAAAAAACTGGTTTTAAAAGGCAAATTGATCCAAACAGTTTAAAAATAAGAAGTCAGGCTCATCATGTCCTTTATATTTACCCCTAAGAATAAAGACTTAGAAGAATTAACATTTGTATTAGTATATTGAACTTCCAGCTCTAAACTAAATCTCTGATTAATGATTTGATAAACAGAATGCCATTTAAAGTAAGTCTAACGTAGCTGGCTTCTAAAACCTGTTCTCTGGCTTTTTAATGTTAAACCACACCATCAGACTACACACTGGGTCTGATCCCAGGCCCCCTGAAACCAGAGGAAGATTCCCAGTTAACGTAACGGGTCAGTGCATGCGGGAATCAGGATGATAAAGCGTTAACTGATGTCATGAAATCACTAACGACTAACTGGCTCGTCTTTCATTCCTCCAATGTTTCTGGATTTTAGGCAAGAGATCGAATTGGGGAGTTTTTCAAGAAGCAGACGTATGTTTTGAGGCACGAGGTCCAAACCGTCCCTACAATACACTACGTGGAGAACAGCTTCTCAGTGACTCACATCGACAGCTGCCGACCAGGCTTTGGGAAGGACAACGTCAGCCACTGGGGCTGTGCGGGCTGCTGTGGTAAATATGAAGCACAGCAATTTCATGTATGGCTTTATTAGCTCAGGTCACAGGTTTGTCTGAAGAGTGGTTGGTGAATATCAGTGTGGAAGGCACTGTTTCCATTCGTCTTTTGGAAAGACATTTCCCTTGCAGGTTTAAGAAAGAGAAGAACGGAAAAGCCTTTGTTAGCACGTTTGCAGGTGTGAAACCGTATTGCCAAATAAAGTGGAAGCGGTGAGGTGGGGTTTTAATTCCAGGTCATTGGTGAGTAACTACGCTCAGGGTGTAAAGCAAATGAGCAATGACCTTAATAGCAGAGCTGCTAGAAAACACCCAGCTGTTTTTAAAAGACCTTTTGCCAGCAGCACCCACTGCTACTTCTGGAGGTTGGGGGTTTAGTGAGAGGCAGGCTCAGAGAGCTTGGGAAAGATGAGGATCCCTTTGGAGCACTGGGAAGCACGTGGTGGTGTCTGATGGCCCCAGACGCAGCCAAGGCAGAGGAGAGCTGCCTGACGTGCTGCCTGTTGTTCTCTTCACAGTGGTCTGTGAGCCTGGAACTTACAGTCCCAACAACGAGGTGATCTGCCAGGTTTGTGCAGATCCTCAAGTCAGGATGTACGGAGCAAGATTTTGCTGATAAACTGACAGCAAAAACTGGGAAACCGAAGAGCAGCTGTGGAAAACTCAGTTTGTGATGTTCTGTTCAGTTTTAGCTGCCAATTCTGGAATCCTGCATTCCTTTATGAACAGTTGCAAAACTTCATTCATCCACCTCCGGATTTTCTGTATTCAGGGACCACTTAAACTGTAGAAGTGATGCAGGAGCTGAAGCGTTCATGCACGGTAAAGGAATTCAGTGAGAACAAAAAGGACGTTTGTCACGTGGCTGTTAGTGCAAAGAGCCCGTTTCTTGGTGGTGACACCAGCCACGCTGCAGCTTTGTGCTGCAGTTTGCTCAGAGAATGTAAAGGAGCTGGGAAGCACTCAGGGAAAGACGGCAGACAGTTGGAGCGGAATTCCGTGCCATGCTGACACACAGCAGAACCTCTATGAGCAGTTCCTAGTAGGTATTAGGAGAAGTATTTCATCTTTGTGATTTAGAAACATTAAATGCCCTTCCCTTTGTTTTTCACTGTTCCTTTGTGTCTGAAGCGTTCTGTGCAGAACTGTGCAGTGCACTGGCGAACACTGACTGGCTCAGGGCTTTCCCTACTGCTCCACCAGTGGGAGCTCTGCTGGGATGCAGACACCAGCAGCAGCGAAAGCAAAATCGGGGCTCTAAGACAAGAGAGAGGGTAAATAAATTCCACAGCCCTGCAGACAGGAGAATGAAGGACCCAGCTTTCATGGTTCTCTTCTCGCCTTGCTGCAGGTCAGTCCTGCAGGGAGGCTGCAGAGCTGCCTCACGCTGCTTGCTGTGTTTGCCACTCCATCTTTCCTTTCAGCTGCACCAAATCCTCGCGGCAGAGCTCTGCTGGCCCCAGGTGCTGTATGAGCAGATGATCCTCTTACACCAGCTGGAAATTCCATCAAGTTCACCGGATGATAGGATTTGCCAAAGCACTGAGATAATGGGAAAGTTTCCTTCCCAGAAAAGCCTGACTCTGGTCTCATTTTGAAGGCTAACTGCTGGATCTGCAGCAATGGATCATCTAGCTCATAAAGCACTGTTAGTAAAGACTATTTTACTCCTGTCAGGAGCTTCACCACTAACCCTGGCTGCTATGGTCAGAGCATGGGCTGTGTGAGGCTTCTGAAGTGGAGCTACCAGAACATGGGCTTTTAGAACTTGATTTTAACCTTTGTAAGCCATTCCCTGCCAGGAGCTGCTCCCTTCCACACTCACTTTGTCCAGGGGCAGCAGAAAACTCTCCCTTGTGAAGCACAGCCCCCCCAACATGGTCCCTTTTGAAGCCACTTGTGTGACAGTGGCATAGCCCCCCACAGTCCAAGTGAGGGGAACACCACCCCAGTGCCTGCACACACTGAGCCATGGAAAACCAGGCCCAGCTTCCCAGCTCAGAGCCATTCCTTTCCTTTCTTTTTTTTTTTTGCAGTATGTAGGACTAAATCAAGCAAAAGAGCACCTCCTACTCAATAACTGCAACTTCTTGTGGCATCTAGAAACGCCTTGGTGGGTATTCATCCAAAAATCAACCAGATTCAACCCCGTTTAACTTATCCACTCTGACAGGAACACAGCAGGAGACGGAGCGGGCACAGACCACGCTCAGAGCTTTTCAGAATCATTACTTATTAAATACTGATGAATAAAATGTACTCTAACGAGCATTTAAACTGCCTGTAGGCTGATTATCCTCACTGCCAACTGGACACTGTGTGCACAGATCGGGCTTATCCTGATTAAGCAGACGGGCTCGATTGCTGCCTGCATCCCTCAGCCTGTTTCACAACAGAGGAATGCCACATACATAAATTAAGAGGGGGGGGAAGCAGTGAGGAGTTCCTAAGTGCAATGGCAACGGGTCACAAACACTCCCTCCTCCTTCTGAAAACTGGAGGTACAGGAAGCTCTTACAGTGCCTCGACTTCTTCAGTGGGCCTTAAAAGTAGAAAAATAGGTCAAATATTGCAGTTTTGCACCGCGGAGGAGTTTGTATCATTGATTCCATGGAAAATCCTGTGAAAATGTGATGTGAAACAGTGTCACTCTGACCTTTCCCAAAGGAAAGCTCTCTCCATCGAGCCTTCGCTGCCTGTGACAGCCTGAACGCAGCTGAACCTTGTATTGGTGACATGCCATCCCTCACAGCTTGCTGTGATCACACTTGAGGTTCTGTGAATCACTGCCTGCACCTCACCTTCACTTCCCTCTCGACCTCCCCCAGCTGTGATAATAGCTCCTGGGGAACTGCAGGAGCCTTCCTCACCCCTTTAAACCCTCTTTTCCTTGCTCTGCTCTGGTTTTACACACCCTCCTTTTGGCAACATGGGCTGGAGCCGATGCTCTCGGTACAAGGCGGGGGAACCGCAGTTGTTCCTGTGAGGTTCAGCCCTGCAAAGCCCCACTCCAACCAGCCCCAAGCAGGCAGCTCTGATGTCCCTCCCTGCAAGGGACGATTACAACACCTCAAGAGTAGTGATGAATTCCCCCCTCAGTAACTCATTTGGAACCTAAAACTTCCTGTCTCCTTCCGACACAGGCCTCCGGGAACTCAGCCCTTCCCAAGGTCCGCATCCCAACAGCGCCCGAGCCCTTTGGAACACCCAGAAATGACAAGAGGAACCTGCCAACTTGGAAGCTGCAGCCCATTGTTCTCCCATCGCCTCTGCCTTTTCCCAGCCTGGAACAAAGCACTTGAGGAAGGCTCCACAAGCACGTGTTAAAGCACTCACTGCAGAGCCCCTGCCCCGGCTCTGATGGGATGGTTGGCTCAGAGCTCCCCACAGCATCTCTCTTACCCCATGAGCAGGATGTTGCTCTAAACGGAAGGCAGCAGGAGTTGACCAGGTCTCAGGCCATCGCTGTGACACACTGCAGCTTGCAGCTCATCCCAACGCAGCACAACACATCCCTCTCCTCAGCAGATTATAAAGAAGAAGGGCTGCAGAGAAGCTGGCTCAGGTGCCCTATGATCAACTTATCCCAGGGACTCGTCACACCTGAGACAAGAGGAGCTGAGCCAAGGACGTGCTGGGTGCAGCCCCAGCTAATCCATCCCTGGGGAATTCCCCTTTGAGTTGCTTTGGTGGAAAGTGGCTGGAAAACAAAGCCAAGAGTTGAGGGTGTCATTTGGGTCCCCCGGGACCTCCAGCTGATGCTGCAGGAGCCATGGGCTGAGTGCCATGGGGACAACCTGGGATGCAGCTCCGGGATGCATGTTAGGAGATGGAATCCCACGTGTGAGGCGGGAGGAGGGCTGGGACAACGCGCGTGAAGGAAAACCGGGTCTGTTTAAGTGGGGTGCTTGGTGAGAAGATGCTTCCTCTGAGAGGGGCAGCTCTGCAGGTCCCCCTCTTCTATTAACAGGCAAAACCTTGTCTCACAGAGCATCAATGAGAACTGATCCCGGGGCTCAGCGGTGCGCAGCTTGCACGAGGCAGGATGAGCAGGAGGGGTGCGTGCGCCCGGCTGAAGCACCCAGCTCTGAACCCCAGGCACGGGAAGAGAGGGGATTTTCAGCTCTGCTTTGCTTCCCTCCCCACTGAAATCCCATTTCCTCCCGCTGCAGCCCAGCGACCGCGCTCGCTGTGCAGCCCCGCTCCTACAACGAGCGGCAGCCTGGGATGAATGAGCCCTTTGCAGGCAGTGAATAACTGTGATTCCTTGTTGGCAGCAGCGCCACTGGGAATGGATTTGTTTGTGGTGGAGATAAATAAGTGAGGCTGCAGAGCTGAAGGGCCGCTGATGAAGTGCGGGCCAGCCTTAATCATAGTGTAATTGCCGCCATCCGTCCTAATTACTTATAAATATTTTGATAATGGTGGAAATTAAACAATTAGACATCCTTCCTTCCCTCTGGCAAATCTAATCAGTTCAAAGTTCAGGATGCAGGCTGGGGCCGTGGCTGCCGAACACACTTCTGTCTACGGCTGACAAGAGCCTTGCTTTATCTCGCTTCTAAACCCCACAGCAAAAGCGAATGCGCATCCCAAGGCGTGCAGCCTCCGTCAGCACTGCCAGGAGGATGGATCCCATGGATGCACAGACCCTGGCAACCAGGAGCATCATTTGGCTCACGGAGGGAGTCAGGACCAGGCAGCAGAAGAGGCATCACAACCAGTGAGGACCCATCTCGCACCAGTGACCCATTTTCCTCCATCCTGGAGAGGCAGAACAGTTCCTCGTGTGCCCGGTGCGATGGGCAGAGAGCACCTTGGAAGTCAATAACAGCTTTAGCGGTGTGTGGAACACTGCAGAAGGAGGTCACGCTGCTAATGCTGCTGCTGCTGATCCCAGCAGATAAATCAGGAGAGGAATTACCCAGGAACGCAGCATTAAAATGGATGATTCCATCGCCGTGCCGCAGGGAAAGCATTGACTTTGACACTGAAGCCCTGGTACCCACCAGCGCTGAGGCAGGAGCTCGCCCACAGCAGCAAGTGCTGGAAGAGTGGGATGAGGAAAACCCCTCTTTGGGATGGAGCCATGGAGGAGCCTTGCAGGCTGTTGGCCCCAGTTTCCTCCTGTGCTCAGCCACATCCTGAGACCCTTCCAATGCCCCAGCTTGGAGGAAATATCCGGTAATCCCAGTTTTCTGCTCTTCCCCATTCCCTTTTAACACCCAATCAAATATCAGACACTACCAACAGCACACAGCTGGGTCCATCCCAGTCCAGGTTCTCTTCCCAAAGCTCACTGCAGGTTTTCATGAGGTTTCTTACATATTTGACCCCCCCCCCATCCATGGAGTTCCACAACCAACTGTTGCTGCCACCAGAATCCACCTCCCTTCCCCATGCTTATGGGGGTTGCCATGAACCCAGCGCTTTCCATCCTAATCACTCAGGGCAGGGCTGGCCCCAGGGGCTCAGCATCATCCAGCCCTATGGGGAGACCCTGGGGGAGCCACAGCCCCATGGACCGGGTGGCAGCAGCATCCCTGGGCCCTCCCCAGCTGCTCCCGAGCAGGGTGACCCCCGGAGCACCCCAGCCTGGGGACAGCAGCCATCTGCTGGGAGCCTGGGCCTGCGTCTGGAGACAGCGAGTGCCAAACGAGGTCAATGTCCCCAAGCAGGAGCTGTCACAACGCGTTAGGGTCCCGGCTTCCTCCTCCCACCGCGCATCCCCACGCGCCGCGCAGGGAAAGGTGCCGCAAACCAGTGCCTCAAGAAGGACCAGTGGGACCGTGAGCATCAGGATGGGTTTGTCCCTCCCGACCGTGGTGATGCCCAGGTCTGCTCGGTGGGGACCGGAGGGCAGAGCAGGGCCCTGGCACAACGTGGCTCGGGCACTGTCACCGTGCCGGTGACCTGAGCCGTGCAGTGCTCACTGACTGCAGCCGAGGGCAGGGTTACCGGCAGCGCCACGTATCGGGTTCCGGACAGCTCTGGTGCCGGGGCACACAGACCGGGAGGGCACCGGCTGGCACGGGCACCGTTCACCCTCCCTTTACAGCCAGGATGGCACCAGGAACCGGGTGATGCCCCCACGGACACACACACACACACACATGGGCACAGGCTCCAAAGTCAAAGCCGACTTTATTGGTGTACAAAGTAAGAACGTAAAAGGTCCCTTAAACAAAACACACGTTGGGTCAGACGGGCACCGCAGCCACGCCAGTGCCTCGCTCTGGGGCCCCACAAGCCCTGGTTGTATGTGGGGAGCTGCCGTGGGGCTGTGGGCCCCAGGGGTGCCTGGTTTGGAGCTGGGGCTGAGGTGCTTGTGCGTGGCGGAGCCCCCGGTGTGTGCTGGGGATGGAGGCACTTGTGGAAGGGTGCAGGGGCTGCTCCCGGCCGGCTCTGGTCCACGGCTCCCATTGGAGCACGGGCAGCAGCCCGGGGGGTGCTCGAGCAGCTTTGGTTGGTGCTCCGGGTGATTTAAGGCAGTTTAAGCTTCAGCTGGTTTTAAACAAGGGCAACCCCATCAAACCCAGCCCCCAGACACAGCTGGGGGAGGCTGCCTCCGCTCTTGGCTTTGCTTCCGAGTCGCCGCTTGGACCCTGTGCACCCAAAGGTGGGCACCAACCCTGACCCACGCTGGCCACCGGCACCCTGCCCTCTACCTACTGACACCAGGAACCTGTAGCCCAATGCTGGAAGGGTCGAGAAGGGATTTTGGGGGCGTTTTAGGGCAGATTCGGGCTCCTGCGGGAGTGGGGAGAGGGCGGAGGAGCCGCGGCGGCTCCCTCCATCCCCGCTCCCCTCACAGTGACCGGTCGGCAGCTTGTGACTCCTGGAGAGGGAGCAGGTGGATGAGGGCAGCAAACACCGACCTGCACGGTGCCAAGGGAGAACTGGGGGGAATCCTGCTCCCCCCAGCGCATCCCAGCAGGGCCAGACCCACCGCCTGCACCCCTCAGCTCCCCTCCAGCAGCTCCTGCATCCCTCCAGGGAGCTCATCCCTGGGGGAGCTTCATTCCCCATTTGCTTCCTGTAAGAACATCGTGCTCCAAGGGGGACAGTGCGGGGGTTGCCCATGAGCCACCCCATCGCCAACTGGGACCCCCCCCCCTCCCCATGCGCCTTGCTCCGCCTGGACCAGGGGTGCCAGGAAAGAAGTGGGGAGCAGCAGGGGCTGGGATGGGAGATGGGGCAGCACCACCCAGCTCGAGAGCTGGAGCGGGGTACCCAGGACCTGCCCCTCGCCCTTCCCAACCGATGTGTCCCCACCTCTTGTTACCACCCTTTGGTCCGGTGGCTCCGGCCCCATGGCCACACCGCTCCGGGTGCAGGCAGGGAGCCCAGCACCGGCTGCCCTGTGCTGCTGGGACCATCCCTTGGGCAGCTGGGCAGGGATTAAACCATGAACATCACCAACGGCCCAAGGGATCCCTGCACAGGAAATACCCCGGTTTGAAACGGAGTCTGAACGCCCCAGGGTGTCCAGGGTCCCCTCTGGTCCGGGTGGATGCTCGGTGCCCGGTGCCCATCCCCATCCCTGCTTCACCTCTCGCTGCACCAGAGCTCCCGCTGCCGGATGCTGCTTCCCCGAGGAGAACCGGAGAAATCCACGCCTGGTCCTGTGGCAGCTCCTGGCAGCCGCGGGCGAGCCGAGTCCTGCCGGAGCCTCACACCACGGTGCTGATGGTGGACGACTCCTCCGACCTCCGCTGCTTGCTGGGCAGGGACTTGAGATACTCGAGGTGCCGCCGGGCGTCCTCCTGGTTCTGCCGCACGTAGTAGACCAGGTAGGAGATGACCATGGCGAACCAGCCGAACATGGTGACCAGCATGGCCACGTCCGTGGTCTTCTTGTAGACGTTGCAGAGGTCCGTGTCGGCCATCACCTGCAGGAAGGCTTTGCCCACGTGCTCCTCCTGCGCCGAGGAGTCGCAGACGAGGCCGCCGGAGGAGCCGGCCGCCAGCTCCACGGTGCGGATGAGCTCCTGCAGCCGACAGTCGCAGAGCCAGGGGTTGTCGGAGAGGTTCACCTTGGCCTTCAGGTTGCTGAAGGCGTCTTTGCTGACGGACACCAGCTTGTTGGAGGACAGGTCCAGGGAGCGGAGGTGCTCTGCCAGACCCCGGAAAGCTCCGCTCTCGACGCCGGCGATGGCGTTGTGGGACAGATCCAGCTCCAGCAGGAGGGGCAGGTCCTGGAAGGCGTCGTGAGGCAGGAATGGGATTCGGTTGGAGTCCAGGTAGAGCTTGTTGGTGTCGTTGGGGATGTCCCTGGGGACCTCGGTGAGGCGGGCGTTGCTGCAGCGGAACGTCTTCAGGCCCTCCTCTTCCGAGGGGTAGCAGCCCTTGGGGAACGCTGCGGCCGAGCGGGGACGGGAGGCCAGGAGGAGGCCGTGCAGGAGCAGCCACGCGGTCACGGAGCACAGCGGGATCTGCGCTGCCGCAGCCATGGTCCCGCGCTGCTGCTGCTGCTGCTGCTGTCACAGGGCCACCGGCCCCGCAGCTCTCAGCCCCGGTGGCTTCAGCTGGACTCGGTGCATCTGAGGTGGAGACAGCAAAGGGACAGCGTCAGACCAAGGGGCAGAACCGCTCCGGCTGCAAGCACGGCTGTGGGGCAGGGATGGGATGGGACAGGGCCAGGGAGCACGGCCCATGCGTCCCCCTGCCATCGGCTCAGGGCTCCTGATCCAGCAGGATCAGGCCTCGAGGGGCCGAGCGAAGACGTCTCCTGCAGCTGGGCTGTAACAACGGGGTCAGCCCGGGCTGAGCTCCGGCCTCGCCAAGGTCGCTGCGTTTGACGGCTCCTGCGCTCGCTCGCACGCGGCCGGAGCATCCCGGCACGGATCCGGCTCCGGGCGAGCGCGATGGGAAACCCGCGAGGGCAGAGGCACAGCAGGTGCCCGCGTCCCGGCTCCAGCAGTGCCCACGGCACACGCGGGGTCTTCCCCTTTGGAGGGTGCCGGTGCAGGCTGGGCGCCGCGGTCCCCTGCCCGGTGCCACTGTGGGGTCGGGCTGCCCACACCACCCCGTAACCATGGTCCCCATCCAGCCCTTGATTCCGGAGGGGAAAAACGTCAGCAGGAAAGAAACGAAAACAGAGAAAGGAAATTCACTGGAGCTGAGCGTGCGGCGAGTTCCCAGGGTGGGTCCCAGATAAGGCCCCGGCTTCCCCAGCCATGGGTCCCACCGCGGCCCCATCCCAGCCCCAGCCTGACCGCGCTGGTGGAGCCACCCGGGCAGGGTGCGGATGCTCTCCGTGGTTAAAGACACCGCTGTAAAAGGGCTCCCATCAGCAAAGCTCCGCGCTGCAGGAGGGCTCCCGGAGCACCCAGTCCAGCAAACTGGGTACCAAGGGGCCGCGGTGCTCACCCAAGGGTGGCCCCGGAGCCCCCCCCGATCACTGCACAGTGTAACACGGCCCAACCACGCCAAAGCACCCCAAGGTCACAGCACTGCAGCCCCAGCCCCTGCACCACCGCCCCCCCCCAGCTCCTCGAGGGCCCCGAGCAAGGACCGGGGCTCACAGCGGACAAAGGGCACCTGGAGCCAGCCCCATCAGGGAGCCGGTGACCAGGGCAGGGACTGCTCCATCCCGGGAGACCCCGCGGGTGGGATGCGGCTCCCGGGTCTCCGCGCTGGGCTCGGCGGGGGAGCGGAGGGTCCCCAGCCCCCCGGTGCTCCGGAGCAGGCACCGCAGTGAGGACGGGCACAAAGCAGCCCCCGGCCACGGCGGGAGCCCCAGCCCCTGGGGCAGGACGGGGCTGCCCGTGCTGGTGCGGGACCCGCGGTGCGCTCGGGGATGCCCCGGGGTTCCCCCCGGCTCCGCTCCGCACCGGGGGCGTCGCGGGCGAGGGAAGCCCCGGTGCTTCCCCGGGAAGCTCCGCTCCGCGCTGCCGGGGACCCCCCCCCCCCCCGCCCGCCCTCGCTTCCCGCCTGTGCCCGGGGAGGGGGGGGCCCGGTGCGGACTCACCTGGCGAGCGCGGCCCCGCGCCCCGGCCCGGAGCGGCCGCGCCCCGCGACCGGAGCCGGCGGCGGCAGCGGCGGGGCCGGTGGGCGGGATCCTCCGCGCGGGCCTCCCCGGGGCTCCCCGCCCCCGGCCCGCCCCGCCGCGGGGGGAACCGCGCAGCTCCGAGCACCCCCGCTCCCGTCCCCGCACCCGAGGGCTCTGCCCCGGGGCCCCCGCCCGGAGCAGCGGGGGCGGCACCGGGGGGACCCGGCGAGGAGCCGCGGGGATCCCGAGCGCGGGGACCCCCCCCCCCCCCCCCCGGCTCTGCCCCCGGGGCTCCCCGCAGCCCTTCGGGGACAACAGGACCTCTCCCCCCCTCCTCCCGCGGGCACCGGCATCGCTTACTCGGGGAAACCCGACCCGCGGAGGTGGGGGGGGGCCATCCCCGGGCTTCCGGGGCCGGGGCTCGGCGCTAACCCGGGCTCTGCCGCCCCGGGACACCGGAGGGGCCGCTCAGCACCATGGAGAGCGGCCGCCGTTACCGGACCCCGCTGACCCCGCCGAGCCCCCCCCCCTGCCCGCTGCATCCCCGAGGCTCCCGCCCTTCACCGGGGGGGGGGGGCTGTGTCCTTGTGGTGCCCCGGTCCCCGGTTCTCCTCGAGGGGGGAGAGCCCAGCCCCGGGCACGGGGTACCGGGTACGAGGCGCCCGCCCTGGATCTCGGCTCCCTTCGGAGAACAAAGCCTGATGGAGAGGGGCGGCCGGGGAGGGCGCGGGGACCCCCCGGACCCCAACCCGCTGGGCTGAGCGGGAGCCCCGTGTCCCGGGGCTGGCCCTGGCCATGGTGGTGGCACTCGGGGAGCCGTGGGCAAGGCTCTTGTGCGCCTTGGGGTCGGGCAGTCCCAGTGCCGCCGGGACCTGCCGCATCCAAGGGGACAAGGCGACAGGCTCAGGGGGTGCTTGAGCTTCGAGTCCCGCTTCGGTGCTGGCTCACCGCAGAGACCCCGGCAGCAGGAGCAGCACCAGGGCTGCGCCCCCGAGGTCCCCCATGCCAGGACACGGCACCCACGAACAAGAAACCCCAACACCTGCAGTGCAACACGGTCCCACACGCACCCTCCCCTGCTGCAGCCAAGCGAGAGGTGGCTGAATACAGCTGCAAAGGGGCTGAATACAGCTGCACCGGGGCTGAATACAGCTGCAAAGGGCTAAATACAGCTGCACCGGGGCTAAATACAGCTGCAAAGGGGCTGAATACAGCTGCACCGGGGGTGAAAGCTGCACCAGGGCTGAATACAGCCGCACCGGGGCTGAATACAGCTGCAAAGGGGCTGAATACAGCTGCACCGGGGCTGAATACAGCTGCAAAGGGCTAAATACAGCTGCACCGGGGCTAAATACAGCTGCAAAGGGGCTGAATACAGCTGCACCGGGGGTGAAAGCTGCACCAGGGCTGAATACAGCCGCACCGGGGCTGAATACAGCTGCAAAGGGGCTGAATACAGCTGCAAAGGGCTGAATACAGCCGCACCGGGGCTAAATACAGCCGCACCGGGGCTGAATACAGCTGCAAAGGGCTAAATACAGCCGCACCGGGGCTGAATACAGCTGCAAAGGGCTGAATACAGCCGCACCGGGGCTAAATACAGCCGCACCGGGGCTGAATACAGCTGCAAAGGGCTAAATACAGCTGCACCGGGGCTAAATACAGCCGCACTGGGGCTGAATACAGCCGCACCGGGGCTGAATACAGCAGCAATGGGGCTAAATACAGCTGCACGGGGGCTAAATACAGGCGCACCGGGGCTGAATACAGCTGCAAAGGGGCTGAATACAGGCGCACCGGGGCTGAATACAGCTGCACCGGGGCTAAATACAGGCGCACCGGGGCTGAATACAGCTGCAAAGGGCTAAATACAGCTGCAAAGGGGCTGAATACAGCTGCACCGGGGGTGAAAGCTGCACCGGGGCTGAATACAGTCAGTATCGACCGGGCAGTGGGACCGGCAGCCCCAGAGAGCCGGAGGTTTGCACGGCTCCCGGCACAGGGGAGGCCGGAGTAAGCAAGGCCTAGGAATTCCTATGGGAACAGCCCCTGAGCCCACTGAGAGCGGGGAAACGCTGGTCCAGGCTTCTGCCAGACAATGGATGGGGCTGAATCCCCCATTCAGGAACCCCCCCCCCCAAGCCCCGGTGCCGCTGGGGGGGGCGCAGGGAGCGGGATCCCATCCCCTGTGCCCACCCGGGCAGCGGGATGCTGCCTGCTGCATCCCGGCAGGAATCCGTATTGATGGGCGGTTAAAAATAGCCGCCGCATTGTGCTTCCCCCTCACGTGCGGAGCCAGCGGGGTGCGGGGAAGCTGCTAAATCAGATGTCACCGCGCAGAGGGAGCTGCTCAGCCAGGCAGGAGAGGGATAAAAATAGAGCTCGCTGCGTGCGTGGTTCTCCTGCAGAGCAGGGCCCGCTCCTGCGGGATTCCCGCTCCCCGCACCGGCATCCCCGCACCGCAGCGGCTGGGATGGGCACACGCAGCGCACCCCGGGGAGCATCATGAACCCAGCCAGGGTTAAACTGGACCCCCCCCCCCCCCCCCCAAGACCAGGCTTTGCCGGGGGGGGCTGCGAGCGGCCCTGGTGGGGCTGCCCCTGCCCCGCACACCGGGACCCCGCAGAGCCGCGCAGGGGGGGTGCGGTGGTGGCACAAAGCCCCGCGCTCCCGTCCTGGGCAGACACGAGCGGGGCCCCCGAGCTCCCAGCCCGACCTCCGCGGTGTTCAGGGGAGGGAGCCCCCAGCGGGACCGGAGCCACCCCGCGGTGTGTGTGTGTGTGCGGGGGGGGGCTGGCCGCGGTGGGCGCTGGGGTTGGACGGTACCGGGGCTGCCAAGGAGCCTGCGGGGTCACCCCGGCTCCTACAGCGGCTCCGCTCCGCAGGCTCGGCCCCGGGGGCGGGCTCCGGTGCTCGGGACTACAGCTCCCGGCGTGCCGCGGCGGCGGGGCGGGGAGGGCCGGGCCGGGCGGCGGCGAGGAGCCCGCCGGGAGCGCAGCCGGGGCCGTGGGTGCGCGACGGAGACAGCCCCGGCCCCGCCGAGCCGGGCCGAGCAGCGGTGAGTGAGGGCCGGGAGCGGCGGCGCTTCCCCGGTCACCCCCCCTCCCGCACCCCGGGGTAATGGGGCCGGTGCGGGGCCTCGTCCCCTTCCCCAGGCCCGGCGCTGGGGGGGGAGCGGTGGGAGCGGGGCCCGTCCCAAGGGGAAAACGCTCCATAGAGAAACAAGCGGCTGCTGAGGTGGGGAGGAGGGGGCGCACCGGGACCTGCCCCACACCCCCGGGGTCCGTGTGGGGTGAGCGGGGTGCAGGAGCCCCCGGACGAGACTCTTCCCCCCCCCCCATCACCCCCGTGTCCGGCAGCCGGAGCCCCGCAGCGCCCGCTCGGTGCTCGCCGCTCCCCAGCCAGCCCCAGGCCCCCTCGGCTTTCCCAGGGCTCCCAGATGTGGAATTCCGAGCCCGACTCCAGGCCCAAGCAGGACACAAAGCGGCGCCGCCTCGGCCCGACCGCTCCCTCCAAGCCCAGCCGTGCCTGTGGACATCCTCCACGTACCTGATGCTCTGGTTCAGATGCTGATGCCGCCTTGCAAAGGAGGGTGTTGAGTATTTGTCCACTTGGGAGATGGTGCTCGCTGGTGCAGGCTCCTCAGCGGCTCCATGGGATCATAATCGCTTGGGATCAGAATCACTCGGGTTGTGGGAACACTCGGGAAGATCTGAGATAAGCACCTGAGCCCTCCTGCCCTCTGGCTGCCGTCCCAGATGAAGCTCCTGTGATGGGCTGATGGAGAACGGGGTGCCAGGCGCTGGGGAAGAGCGATGCTGCTGCCAGAGCACAGGGACAGGAGCGGATGTGGTCACGCTCCTCCTCGGGGGGCAGGAGCCGTGCTGTGGGGTGCTGGCTGCACTCAGCAGCAGCTGATGGGTGACAAAGCGAGCAGGAAGCTGCCGGTGTCGCTCTGTTCCCCCCTCTTCCTCAGAAGCGAGATGCTGGCACGGCAGACACGGAGCTGGCAGCGCTGGGGTTCATCCCAAGCCCCGGAATGAGGCTTTCCCTACAGATCCATGGACAGGGAGTGGGAAGTCGGGAAGGATCGGGCCGAGGAAGGGCTCGGTTCCTCCATCACGGCGTAACCACAGCTGACTTTTCCCCTCCTTGGACAGACAGGGTCCAACGTCAGCACAGCCCTGACCTTCACACTCTGCCTGGTGAAACATTAAAGCTTCTCTGTCCCCAAAAGCCCCGCAGCACACGTGGGGAAGCGGAGCTGCCTCCCTTTGGCTGCAGGTGAACAACTCCCGGGTGTAAAAGCAGACACCATGGGATGCGGGATGGGGGTAGGGAGCTCAGCTCCCTCAGCCAGGCTTTTGCAATCAGCAAAAGCCGTGTGTGCAATCCAAAGGGAGCAAAGAGCTCGGCCAAGGGCTGCAGATGCCACTCAGGAGGGAAGCCCGAGAGATGAAGTGGTTTTAAGGTGGGGAAGGGCTTGCAGAAGCACGTGGAATTATCCTCATGGTAGGACGGAACGCTTGACATCGTTGGGTCTCTCTTGCAAGACCAAATTAACCTCCTGTATGTTCTAACACTTTACTCATTGTTACAAGCAAGGAAACGGAGGCACCAGGAGGAGAACCGGGCCCTCAGTGGCTGCTCCATCTGCCCCTCGGCCACCCGCTCGGTCCCCAGCCCACGGAGGAAGCTGAAGGGTTCAGCTCTGGATGAAGTTGGATTTGGAAGCCTCCAGCGAGGTCACCAGCCCCTTCCCCATGCTCAGTCCAAGCCTCAGCCAGGCAGTTTCTAGAGCTGAGCCCTTACCAGTATGGAGGAGAATGGCAAACAGCACTGCTGGGGATGCATTCCACAGGGACCTTTGCTCTGTTTGGGATTTGTTGCAACGACAAGACTTCCTGACTCACGTCATGCTTCACTGCAACCCATAGGTCTCCTCTGAAAGCCCTCTGGAATTGCACCAGGTTAGGGATGGAGCTGCTCCGCCTGCTAGGACTCAAGCCCAGCTCTTAAGTCCAGCTTCCAGAGTAAGCTTCAGGCTTTCCCCTGGAATATCAAGGATACCCTTTGCCCTCGGCTATGGGCATGGGTGATGATTTACAACAAGCACTCCCCAGACCTGCAGCCTCTTTTCTTGTACTACAAACCTCCAGCCATAAGCGCCCTGGTTGACACCTGGGTAGCAGAGGTAGGTGAGCATCTGCTCAGCCCACCTTGGCAGCCTGCAGCACCGAGCAACAGCCACCTTGTGTGGGTGAAAGAGGTTTGGAAGTTCCAGCCAGCATCCCAGGGGCTGTGGAGCCAAGCACTCACCGCATGTCCCAGCCCCAGGCAGGGCCAGGGGAGAGAGCCAGCTCCTGACACACACCAGGCCCAGTGCTCCACAGGGAGCAAGCAGCTGGTGGTGGTGTAATGTCAGAGCTGGCTCAGACTCGCCTCCTGAGACCCAGACTGAGAGCTGGAGAACAGCAACACCATCTCCCAGCTGCGGGAGCCAAAGCAGCCCAACCACAAGGCCAGACATCAGGAAGCAGCCTCACCTTGGGGGCCGGCGAGGGATGGACCGCATTAAACTGCATTTCCCCAGGAGACAAAGATGATTTTACACAAGAACTTCCCTGATCTCAAAGATACTCAGTTTTACAGATGTTCTCATTTGTGCTGCTTCCTGTGATCTCTGCAAACCAGAGCTCTCATCTTCTCAGAAAGCCTGAAAGCTGACTGATACCTGCTGTGCTATCAGTGCAGCAGCCCAAATCCCACCAACACCTGCACTGTCTCCAGGAGGATGACACTGTCCTTCCTCACCTTCCTGGCATTGTGGCTGCCCCATCCCTGGCAGTGTTCAAGGCCAGGTTGGACACAGGGGCTTGGAGCAAGCTGCTCCAGTGGAAGGGGTCCCTGCCCATGGCAGGGGTTGGAGCTGGATCAGCTTTAAGGTCCCTTCCAACACAGCCCAGTCTGTGATACAGAAAAACACCTGTGTTCCTCCTACGTGGCAGCTCTTTGCAGGTAGGGCAAGGGCCATCTCCTCTGCAGCTCCTGCTCATGAAATACCTTCCCAATGCACTTTTCCTCATTATCTCTAACTTTTTATGATCCTCAAGAAGATTCTTGTTCCTTCCCCATGGGGGAATTAAGTTACTTCCCCAGAGCCCTGCTAACTGAGTTGAACTGATGGGGAGATGTGTTGCTGTGGAGCTGTGGTGCCTTTACTCTGCAAACATGCTCGTTCCAAGTATAAAGTGTGCTGAATCCATAAACGTGTAACAAGCTCCATGTGCCGAGTGCCTCCATGATTAACACTGCGATGGTGACTTCAGAAGAGCTTCAGGTATTCCTTTGAGTCTCCTCAGGCAATCGCAGGATTGAACCTTCCCATTTTGGTTCCAGGAAAACCTTTCAGCAGATCACGGACATGCTTCCCACACGGTATTCCCAAAACTGCTCCCAGAGTTAGCTTCCCCCCAGAAATGGCAGCTCTAAGAATGAAAGCAACGAGGTGCAGAGAAGTGAACTTGTGATTCTTAGAGCAAACAACAGGTTCGAGGTTTGATGGAGAGCAAGAGGGTGCTCAGCTTAGATGGAGGGTTCCCACCTCTGAGTACTGACCCAGCTCTGCTTTAGTTTCAGGGGTGCCTGTTGGACACAAGAGCCAACATGAACGTGGGGACAGCGCACAGCGAGGTGAATCCCAACACCCGGGTCATGAACAGCCGGGGCATCTGGTTGTCCTACATCCTTGGAATTGGGCTGCTGCACGTCGTGCTCCTGAGCATCCCCTTCTTCAGTGTCCCCGTGGTTTGGACTCTTACCAACATCATTCACAACATGGTAAGGGAATGGTGTGGCTGGCTTGACTTCCCCCGGGGCAGGGAGACATCATCTCTCAGCACCAGCTCTTCTTTTGAGAGCCATCTAGGGAGATTCCTGTTCAAACAATTCCTTTCTGTTTCCAAAGGTGCAGTGTAAGTTACTCAACCTCCACCCCTCAGACTGCAATCTTTGCCTCTAGGTCATAGATTTAAATCCAGCCTAGGTACTGTTGAGACAGCAAAGATGTGATGAGGCTGCTCAGAGGGGACACTGCAATAACTTGCCTGCAGGGTAAGTCCTTTAGCTGAGAGGCCACAGAAGCTGGCAGGACAGCCTTCACTTTGGTCGATACAACCTGAATTGGCCTTAGCAGAGTTAAGAAAACAAAACGAACACCCAAACTTTGTTCTCCTTAAAGATTAGTCCAGGTTCATCCCTTCTAAGGACCAGGTACCCAGCTGAATGGGTGTCAGCGCTGTGCTGGGGGCACAGAGGCACATTCCAGGGTGCAGGCCAGGAGCTGCTTTAGTGCCTCCACTGCACAAGCCTCTGCATGTCCTGCAGCTGAGGAGCAGCCCTTCAGCCTCAGGCACAGGGGACAAAAACCCTCAGAGATGCAGCAATTGATTTTGTATCCTTTATTTTCAATGATACCTCAGCCTGAGAATATTCCAGAGGCAAAAGTGACCCCCTTACCAGGGATGTTTTTCACATCTAGCAGAGGAGGAGCCCACAAAACCACTAACTTGAGCTGCCTGGAGCTCAGCTCGCAAGCTGCCTGCTTTGCATCCAGCTCCTTCCCCTTCTCTGGCAGCTTAAACAATGAGGTCATGGGAACAGAAAGGAGTTTAAAGGCCAGCAATGGCTACTCTTCAAAGCCACGTGATGCAGCCAGACACTTGCTGTTTATCTGTGCCCTGGGTTCCACTCCAAGAGGTTTACTCGTAATCAGGGCAGGAACAGATCCTCACTGCCCACAGCCCCACCAGCACTGTTTGTAGACAGCCTTGGGCATTGCTGGTGCACGGCAGAGCCATTCCACACTAATCTCCTGACCCCAGAGACGGGAGCGCTGTAATCTTGCGGCCACCTTCTTGGCTTACGCCCAGGAGCTGAAGCAGAGGCCTCCCGTGTGACAGCCGGCCCCGAGCTAACCCCGGCTGCTTCCCTTCCCCGCTCTCCCCACTCGCTTAGCTGCATTTTCCGGCGGGGAGGATGCATCCCTCTAGTGGCACAGCGCGCTGGTGCAAGCTCCCCCGGCCGTTCACGAAGCTGAGCGTTTCTGGTGGTGTGGAGGTCCCCTGCGTGCTTCACACTGCGTTTGTGTTTGCTGCAGAGCATGTACATCTTTCTCCATACCGTGAAAGGAACTCCTTTTGAGACTCCGGACCAGGGCAAGGCTCGGCTGCTCACGCACTGGGAGCAGATGGACTATGGAGTGCAGTTCACGGCGTCCCGCAAGTTCCTCACCATCATGCCCATCGTCCTGTGAGTACTTCATGTGCTGGCCTGGGAAACAAAACCACAGAGCGCTGTGACTCAGCTCTCCCCCTCTCTGTTCTCCTCCTTTCCAGGTATTTTCTAACCAGCTTTTACACAAAGTACGACCGGATCCACTTCGTCATCAACACCATCTCCCTCATGAGCGTCCTGATCCCCAAGCTGCCGCAGCTCCATGGCGTCCGGATCTTTGGCATCAACAAGTACTGAGCTGCGTGGCTGGGGCGAATGCAAGAGGAGCAGGGGGAGAGGGGGATGTTCCTTCTCTCTAGTTCCGTTTCTTCTTCCCCACGCAGACTGGGATGCAATTTCACAGCAGCTGTTTAACTGCAGTATCCCATAGACATACACCGCATGCTGGATCCTCACGCCCAATAAACCTAAACCAGCTCCAGAGTAGAGTTTAGTGGAAGCAGGATGCGTGGCACTGGGTTCCTTACATTCCAGTGTCATAACTAGATGCAGACTTCAAGGTACAACGAGGATGAATTCTGGTGGGATTTTAATCTATCCCAGACACTGAATGAAGAGGGATGAGGGGAAAAGCTTTTAGTGCTGGTACTATTGCTGTGGTAAATGCACTTTAATATATTTCCCTTTCTGAAGCTAAGTGCTTTAAGCAGTATGTGGGGGAAATTCAAAGGGATACAGCCAAGCTTTCCCAATACCTGATTGTTTTGGGGTTTGAGTTCCATTTTGGGGCAGGGCAGTGGGAAGAGAATGGCAAATTCTTGTTTTGCAATCTTTTACGTCACTGAGATAGGAAGCTCTTTAGTAAAGGCAGTAGAGGAAGGAGTGACCTGCAACCTGAGCAACTTCCTCTTTACTGTGGAACTATTTGTGTGCTTCGGGGAAACGCTCAAGAGAACCTACATCTGATTTGTTATTTTCAGCTTGTGCCAGAAGCTGATTAACGGCTCCCCAGCCCAAACTGCTGATTTTTAAGGGCACTCTGAGTGCTCAGGCAGTGCAGCACTCAGCCCAAGGGCTGGGTGCAGGGCAGTGATGACTGACAGCAAATGCCACTGAGCAGCTCACACACAGCGACCGCACCAGTGTGGGAGAAGCTGCAGACTGACAGGTACAGGCCAAGCGAGATGGATGGATGATGCCTGCTTGCTGAAATCAGTGACTGCAATTTGGACTGTCTTCTCCTCAGCCCAGCTCTTGGTTGCTCAAGTCCATGTCCATGTTACTGGGATCTGCCAGTTCTCCACTTAGCCATGGACTTGGCTCAATTCCTGACTCGAGGCAAGCAAGTGTTCCAGTTCTGGCTTACCTGGAAATCTGTCACTCAGCTCCACTCGTGAGTCCTCATGTGGTCACTGGTGAGGAGACTGTAGGAGAGTAATACCGACCAGCACCAGCCTGACGTGGCCAACAGAAGGACACAGTGGGTCCCTGGTAATAATTACTTAGTACAGGAACAAAATCAAGCCTTTTTCCCATTAAATTCCCACCTAAAGGATGCAGGTTTGCAGGTTTCGATTCCCTGGCTGAGAGAGCTTTCTCCTGTTCAAAGTCATTGTTTTTAATTCTGGGTTGTGTTGCTGGAATGTGTGAACCCTCATGCTTCCCCTGTAAAAGCCTCTCTTTTGTTGTCTCAGTGCTTCTCTCCCACTTTGGACAGTGGTATAATCATTTTAAATATGTCCTTTTTGTTCCTGCATTAGCTTTAGAGGTCAGAGTGGACATTGTTGAGTTGTTTGATGGTCTGAGCGTAGGAGATGGGAACTTCAGGTCTGCATCTAAGATCTAGTACTATTCCAGGTAGAATTTTAGGCAAGCGGCTTTACTTCTATCTCAGACTTACTGCTGCAGAGAAGGGAAAAAACATTTCATGTACCTCAGAGAGGAAAGCAGAAAGAATCATTACCTAATGTTGGATAAGTGGGAATGTTTGAAGTGAAAAGAAGTTTTCAAGAAGGTGGGAAGAGGAAAGAATCTGGCTGGATACCTGAGTGCTGTTGTCCAGTTTGACACGTGCAATTTACTGGATAGGGAGGTTGAAGCTTTTAACCACCGCGACGCAAGGACTGCTGCTCTAGTTAAGGTACCATATGCCCTAAAGCCAATACTCTTTAAGCTACTAGACAATGACTTGTGGGAAAAAATACTGTTTTCAAAGTAGAGACATTTCTATCAGGCAATTACCTCTGAAATGCCTGAGAGATCAATAGCATCAATGCCCTCAGAGGTAGGGGGACTGTCCTCAGCTACAGCTGGGTCTGTAACACAGGCTGCATGTTGTTTTAACAGATCTCAATGTCTGCCCACAGCTCAGGCTGGTAAATCTCCCGAGAAAACAAAACTACTTCTATATTTTGGTAGAAAACAAGGAGAAAACAGCCTTTTTTTTGCAACAGAAACAGTCCCTGTATCCTTAAAACCATTACTCCTGTACAGATGTGTGCTGATTATTTCTAAGTACATGCACATTACCCCAAGTCAGAGGAGCTTTGGTATTTTTAGCCTAAGTGTGACTTGAAGGCAGGGCTCAGCACTTGATGCAGTTTCCTTGAAAGCCTTGGCATTACAGCAGCGGAGGGTCTGAACTTGTCCCTCGTGCTGTTATCTGGGACATCCGATCCTAAACCAGGGTGGGATTAGAAACTTCTGAAAGACCAGTTTTTAAAGCCTGAAGTTTAAAACTTCTTCTTAGGCAAAGCCTTAATTGCGATAGTGAGTTTTCTGATTTACCTTGTTCACACAAAGGATTAAAATAGCACAGATGTGTTCCATGGCAAATGACATTCTTTACAACAGATGCCATGGAATAACTGAAATTAACTCAGACTCATAGAGTTAATCCAATCAAGGGAACATAGATGAAAACTGGAAAAATAGGCAAAGTGAGAACAGAAGGTTTTATGGTAATAGTGGGGTGTGTTAAGTATCTATACAAGATTAATAATGGAGTAGTTATACATCTGATAGTCTCTTCCTTAAGATCCCATCTTAAGGGTAGGTATGAGAATTAATCAGGACTACAAAAGAAACCATAAGAGAATTGTAATTAAAGCCACAGCCACAACTGCTACTTGTTAGGGGTACCTGACGTGAAAGAGTTTTGGGGGGTGCTGGCTGAGCACCCCCTGTGCCACTTGCATGGCTCTTTCCTGTCGTATCACAGGAGCAAGTGGTGCCCCATTTCAGCTTCTGCTTGGAAACCACCACTGTAGTGGCCTGGAAGAACTGGACACAGTTCTGGGTTTCCTGGAACTGAAACCACTTTTAGTTTCTTTGTGTGTGTTAAATTCACGTAGAAGCACGTTCAGCACTCAAAGGCTGCTCTTGCACATGCACAAGAGTGGAATCGAAATACTAAAACTCTCAAGGGATAAGTGATTCCTGAGGAAAGGAAATCAGGACAGTGGGGGCAGGAGGGGGGATTTCCATACCTGCAGCCACCAGAGCAGTGATCCCAGGGTGAAGCCCACCTTCTGCGTGGAGAACCAGAAGGCGAGCACAAGGACTGTCTGCTCATACAGACTGTAGAGCTTTCTTCAAGTACCTGTGTGAAGGAGACAACTGATTGTTACTGGTTTTAAATGGGATTTTGATCATGACAGATTTGCCTCTCAAACTTGTACTGGCTTCCTGCAGAGTGACCAGGGCAAACTTCAGCTGGAGAATTAATGGCAGGCTCCATCCTGTGCTTGAGAATCAGTTACTGGGTAAGCAGGTACTCCAGATGCTTTTCTTTTTCATTCTCCCATGAATGCCAAAGGAGAAAAGCCTCTGAAAAGCATCACTTGAACCATTCACAGGCACTGGCAGAAGTCTCCCTGCCCCATCCTGTCCTGGGCAAAGCCTCTTCTAAGCCACTGCCAAGGCCACGCAGGTATTTACACAGATTGGCAGTTACTGCACAAGGGAAGTCAGAAAACAATTGAGTACTGACAGCCTGATGCTTCTGTCCTGCAATGCCTTTAACACACCCCATGGGATGGCCAACAGCCCAACCCTTACCAGGAAAAGGCCTTTAAAAAACAAAAAAGACAAAAGCAAAGCTGAGATCTGGGGCTACTGAATTCCCAAGAACTTCTTTTTAATCATGGTTTCATTTTTGTTTTAATAGACACCCGGTTCTGACCCTTGCTAAAGGGCCAGCAGCTGCTTACTCCTGTCAACACATTAATGTTTCTTCTTGTGACTGACATTGCTTTATCATTGCCTATAATCTCTTTTCAGCATGCAAGTGTTTGTGTGTCTGTAGCCTCCCTGGAACAGTTGGAGTTGAAGTAGTTGGGATTTTAAGGGAACATTCTGACACTGTACAAAGTTGTAGGGGTTTTTTCCTCTTTTTGCTGTGGATACATGAGTCTCATGTAGAGAACTTTCTAAAATAAAGTGTGAATATTTTTATTACTCCTTTGTACAGTATTCTAAGAGAAACTAATAAAGTATTCCTCTAAAAACCTGGGTTTGGGTCCTTGCATTGTTACACAGACAGGTTTTGCTTTTAAAGCAGCCGAGCAAATAAACACTTCATAGAATAGTTCGGGTTGGAAAGGACCTTAAGATCATCCAGTTCCAACCCCCCTGCCATGGGCAGGGACACCTCACACTAAACCACGTCACTCAAGGCTCTGTCCAACCTGGCCTTGAACACCACCAGGGATGGAGCATTCACAACTTACTTGGGCAATGCATTCCAGTGCCTCACCACCCTCACAGTAACGAACTTCTTCCTTATATCCAATCTAAACTTCCCCTGTTTCAGTTTTAACCCATTACCCCTTGTCCTGTCACTCCAGTCCCTAATGAAGAGTCCCTCCCCAGCATCCCTATAGGCCCCTTCAGATACTGGAAGCTGCTCTGAGGTCTCCACGCAGCCTTCTCCAGGCTGAACAGCCCCAACTTTCTCAGCCTATCTCATGTGATCTCATGCAATCATGAGATGCTCGAATTTGAGATCCTCAGGACAGTGAGAAGAGCATGCATGCAGCAAGCTCACTGCCCTGGACTTCAAAAGAGCAGACTTTGGCCTCTTCAGGAACCTGCTTCAGAAGGTTCCATGGGATACTGCCCTAGGGGGCAGGGGGGCCCAAGACCCTTGGTTGATATTCAAGGATCACCTGCTACAAGCTCAGGAGTGTTGCATCCCAACCAGAAGGAAGTGCAGCAGGAGGGCCAGGAGACCTCCTTGGATGGATAAGGAGCTCCTGAGGAAAATTCAATTGAAAAAAGAGGCTTATAATAAGTGGAAGCAAGGACAGGTGGCATGGGAAGAGTACAGGGATGTTGTCCGAGAAGCTACGGACCAGGTTAGGAAAGCTAAGGCTCAGTTAGAATTAAACTTAGCTAGAGGCAGATAAACCCTAAACTTAGCTAGATAACAGGAAGGGATTCTACAGGTACATAGCAAATAAAAAACAGACTAGGGAGAATGCAGGCCCCCTCAGGAAGCTCTCGGGAGAACTGGCTACACGGGATTTGGAGAAGGCTGAGGTTCTGAATGACTTCTTTGCCTCGGTCTTCACTGGTAAAGGCTCTGACCACACCACCCAAGTCTTGGAAGGCAGATGCAGGGACTGTGAGAATGAAGACCCTGTGCCCACTGTAGGAGAGGAACTGGTTCGAGACCATCTTAAAAATCTGAACGTGCACAAGTCCATGGGTCCTGATGAGATCCATCCACGGGTCCTGAAGGAGCTGGCGAATGAAGTTGCGAAGCCGCTGGCCATCATATTTGAGAAATCATGGCAGTCAGGTGAAGTTCCCCACAACTGGAAAAAGGGAAATATAACCCCATTTTCAAGAAGGGGAAAATGGATGACCCAGGGAATTACAGACCAGTCAGTCTCACCCCTGAGCCTGGCAACATCTTGGAGCAGATTCTCCTGGCAGGCATGCTAAGGCACATGAAAAACAACAAGGTGCTTGGTGACAGCCAGCATGGCTTCACTGAGGGGAAATCCTGCCTGACCAATTTGTTGGCCTTCTATGATGGGGCTACGCAAATGATGGACAGGGGTAGAGCAGTTGATGGCATCTACCTGGACTTGTGTAGAGCGTTTGACACTGTCCCACACGACATCCTTGTCTCTAAATTGGAGAGACATCAATTTGATGGATGGACCACTCGGTGGATAAAGAACTGGCTGGATGGCCGCACAAAAGAGTTGTGGTCAATGGCTCAATGTCCGGCTGGAGATGGGTAATGAGTGGGGTCCCTCAGGGATCGGTGTTGGGACCGGTCTTGTTTAACATCATTGTTGCTGACGTGGACAGTGGGATTGAGTGTGCTCTCAGCAAGTTTGCCGATGACACCGAGCTGTGTGGTTCAGTTGATATGCTGGAGGGAAGGAATGCCATCCAGAGGGACCTTGACACGCTTGTGAGGTGGGCTGATGCCAACCTCATGGAGTTTAACCATGCCAAGTGCAGGGTCCTACACCTGTGTGGGAGCAATCCCAGGCACAGCTAAGGTTGGGCAGAGAAGAGATTCAGAGCAGCCCAAGGAGGAGGACTTGGGGGTGTTGGTTGATGAGAAAATGAACATGGACCGGCTTCAGTGTGCGCTTGCAGCCCAGAAAGCAACCATATCTTGGGCTGCATCAAAAGGAGCGTGACCAGCAGGGTGAAGGAGGTGATCCTGCCCCTCTGCTCTGCTCTTGTGAGACCTCACCTGGAGCATTGTGTGCAGTT